ACTCTCCTGCCCTATTCTTTTTCCTTACTTCTCTAGATGATGTCTTCCAGTGCTGCACCACGGTACGCTTCTCGTCCCATTCCACCATAGCTGTATTCCTAGCAGAACTCACCTGGCTTTGGCCGTAGCTTTGGCTTCATATTCTGTGATGTTCTGCAAGGCTTGAACTGTAATTTTCTGCTGCTTTTTCTTTCCCCAGTTACCTTATTTGTCCCTTTAACTTTAGTAGTAGCACAACACTTGGCTGCATATGTGGTATGTTTGTTTATTTTGTATTTTTAGCAAGTTAAAAAACATCAGTGAAATGACCCATTAAATTTGCAGGCAAGTATCCTGAAATAACCTCTTTTGCCTCCTTCTTGAATGCCTACTTTCTGTGTGTGTTGTCTTTAATGTTGAAGTTGTGCTGACCTTCAACATCCTCTCTCTGACCTCTGTTACCCAGTGTTTGATCAGAGCTGCTCCCTAATACTTAATGTGCGTGAAAAAAGTTACTTCGCACTTTGTTATGGAAGTGAATTGAATCAGTGACAGCTTACCCATCAGAGGACAGAGAACGTTTCATATTGAAAGGAGGAAAGGACAGGTACTAGAATCAGGAGCATAGGAGTCCTAGATCTGCTTTTGAGCACCAGAGCCCGCTGTTGTTGCAGTAAAGAATGAAATAGACTTTCCTAAATACCTGCAGTATGCCGGTGTTATGTAAATCTGTAGGTGAACAACCTCTTAAATTATGGAATACAAATTGACTGTATGACTTTTGCTTGATCATGCAGTAGATGGGGTTGGAGGAAGCTTTTCACAGCTCTAATGCCAGAGTCCCCAGAGCTCTATGTATTCAACATAGCTATGGGCATGAAAGGATTCTCTTAGCCTCTACTGTAAAGATAACTGCTGCTTGGGCACCCTTTGAGAAGATGATTGCTGTCAAAGAACCATTCTTTAGTCATCAAAAGCAGTCCACTCAGGAGAAAGAAATCTAATTTTAAGTCAAGCACATTGTACCCCATAATGAATAAGATTATATAAATAGCAGATAATGCAGATTATTGCCCTTATCCATGTACCATGAAATGCCACTGTGTAACCAAAAACGACAACACTGGCTGCTGGGAAAAGGAGGAATTGCATGTATTAACACTAGATGTCAATCCTGCATGTGGACAATTGAATTGGAAGGTATTTAGACTCGTATCTGACAATGATTTCCATGGCTATGTTTTGGAGATAGCATTCTTTCCTGTAACGACAGCAGAAATATATTTGCTCCATGTGAGGAAGGAATGGAGTGACAGTTAATAACAATTTGCATGTAGCACTAGATACAAAATGCAAATCAGCCATTTGAAAATAGAGCATCAAGAGAATAAAACGTGTTTCTGTAAGGGTTTATTGAGTCACAAAAATTTGTTTGTATACTGCTACTAGCTACTGTTCTGGTTAAGAGAATGCTATTTTATATGTGTTCACATTGCACCATTCTTCTGGACTTCATCTTCTAGTGTCAGCTAATCACTACTCTTTAAACCAAGAACACAGCCAGGATGCTGAAGTGCATTCAGCTTTAATTGATACTGATTGCTCTGGCAATGAAATCTAGAGAAATGCAGGCGACCCTTGAAGAAGGATCTGGCTAAAGCTAGAACAATGCACATGTTCAGAGAACCTCTGATCTCTTTTAAGGGGAGATTTTAATGAGAATAATGCTTTTTTTTTAATTCCATCTGAACTGTGATACAGGAGTTCTGAACAGGCAGTAGGTGGTGAAGAGCGGGCCTCTGCCTTGCAGGACACATTGGGGAAGACTGCCTACTTCTGGGCCTACACCGAATGTGTACAAAAGTTCTTTTGTCAAAAGCTGAGAGCACACCTGAGGCAGTAAGATTAATAAAATACAAAACTATTTCTACATTGATACATAAAAATATTTTGCTTCAAAGGCTCTAAAAATGCATACCAAACTGCCACAGCTGGGAAATGAAAAAGGGAAGAAAGGGATAGCTGCAGATTTAAAATACAATGAAAGTGAGAGTGTAGCCATTGCTCCATTTACATTAGCCTTTGTAGTGGGCAGAGGTAAGAAACAACTTGTAAGGAGAAAAGAAAGCCACCTCAAACAGGCCCCCAAAACCCTGGGGGATGGAGAGGAGGCTACTGCCTCTTTGAAGAGGCAATAGGGGGCACTGAGGCAGAGCTGTCACTTTTGGAAAGGAGATGCAAACAAACTGGTTCTTTCCTCCAAAGAGGGACGGGGAAGACTGGTTCCCCAAAGGGAGGCTGAGGTGCCCCCTGCAAGTGCCGCACACCTGCACCGTCCTTGGAGGAACTGACCTCCCCTGTCCCGTCTGCGCAGTGGCCGCCAGAAGTGACGAGACCCCCTTGAAGTAGCAGGTAGGGGCTGACAAAAGACAATTAATTGCTCACAGTGCAAAACCACTGTATTGGTGACAGCAGGATTACTGCTGTGAGCGGCTGCGGAGAGCGAGCGGCCTGGCAGATCTGCTGCTGTCTTCTTAGGCAACCAAAGGCGAACGGTACTTCTGGTGTGGGGCTTGAAAATACACTTGTTCTGCTCGATCATTTCCAAAACGCGCCAT